GAAAGACGATTCCAACCGCATTCCACGGAACCAGCAGGATACGTTTTTATCGCTTGTCGTGCTTTCGGATTAACCGGTGTTTAAAAACGATACAGGGACCTGAAGAGTCCTGAAGGAAGAATGATTCGTAACCGCAGGTCGGCCGCGGTCCCCTTCTTCTCCGCTTTTTCCTTCGAGGGGCTGCATCTTTTTTATCTCCGTTGCACGTGTTCCGTGCGGCGGACCGTGCGCTTTCCTCAGCTTTTCCATCGCATCTGTCTCGCTGTCGGCTGAGGAACCGTGAACCTGGGGTCACGCGGGTCACTCGAGCGGCAGAATTCCGTTTCTCTACTGTGCGTCTCTCACCGTGTCTCGAGGTGACACGATGGAAATGGCACGGCCCTCGCGTTAACGCCAGAACTAACAAAGTGATCGATTTATTATAAGTTTTCAAAGTACAATTCTACAGACTTGTAACGATGTTTCAGCGATTTGGTTAATTTCTAAACAAAATACACGAATAAAAGTTACGAATTTTGAATCTCTGCACGATATTTGAATTCATGACACTTTATAACATGATATTATACTGCATTTAAATATATTAGAATATGTTCTATACGGTATCAGTAGTACAAACAGAAAGGGAGTGATTCTGTATGAAAAAAATCAATTGAAGATAAAGAATGAAATTTTGTCATGCAAGATTTAGTTTTTGAGCGAAATCGAGCTTACTTGAGTTCAGTTAATTCTAGACCCGATAGAAAGGAATATAATTAACAAGAGGTTACTCTACCTGTGAAAATAAATCGTAAAATGTAGAATAAAATTCCTTTTTGTAATTCGTCTTCAAGAAAATCGAGTTTGAACATTTGTCAAGTTCAACAGGGCAATTTTTAACGAAACATATTCAAAATTTATCCTCTCTCGAGTATGAAGATTGAAATGAAAAAATTTTGTCCCTTTCGATTCATTTTTCCGCTCGACTAATCTCCTGCTAATTATTCTTCTCTTACGTTTAGAATTACGTCAAATTCCACTATTTCTCGAGAACTAAATCTTACATGAAAAAATTTTATTCTTTATTTTCGATTTATTTTTTCATATAGAATCACATATAGAATCTTGCTATGCTATCTTATACTGGAACATCCTGCGTTATTCTATATTCTACATCATTCTATATAATAATTCTATATTGAAATGTATTAGATATATACCGTAGTAGAATTTAATTTGCGATATTAGAAGAAGAAGGTTGATCGATTTCCAGCTGAGGATCTTCGAGTGGCTCTCTCTAAACTCGCGACGTTTCGTACGAGATACAAAACGGTTCGCACAGAGGAGGGTCAAAAAAAGAAAAAAAAAAAAAAAAAAAAAAAAAATCGGCTTTAAGACCATTACCAAACCGGTCTTTAGTCTCACACGATCTTTGCTCTCTCGGATCCACGAAGAACCGAAGAGCCGTGAAGTTCCTCGGGGTAGTCAAGGTGTCGGTTACGTCCGTGTCAATTAGGCCCCGCGCTCGAAGGCGTGATCGACCGTGAAAAATGCCTGCGGTCACTTTTGTTGGATCTTGTAAATCAAATCTTATTGATTTCACGTCTCCTTTCTTCGGCTCCATTCGCCCCTTAGGCGAGGCCGCCGCTGAAAACAGAAATTCTGTCAAAATGAATGCTTCGTCTTCTCTTCGAATCCCTTGCCTTTTTTTGTTTCCTCCTAAATCACCTTCTTGTTCTCTTTAGATCCTTTTGTCTAATCACCTTGTCCATTCTCCTTCGCCATCTTTTTCTATCCTCTGCTGAAAGTAAGGAGAAGCGACTCCCGTCTCTTTTAAAAATAATTATTTAAACACGAGTCGTTCGACAGTCATTGAGAAAGATTTCACAAATTCTGTACGGTTTCTCTGTCGATTCACTATCTCGATTCACCTCGAACGTGATAAACTCTAACTAGCGTTTAAAACGATAAGCGATCGGTGGCAAACACGTCTGGAACGCGAGTGGAATCGTATCGTGACTCCTCTTGAAAATAGCTGTTCGATGAAAGGCACCACCTGCCGACCCACGCATCGCCGCGGTCGAAATAATCAGGTACGAGTCTATTGGCCCATTAGAGTGCATGATACATCGTATTAGCTCGTGGCAAAAGGAACACGATGCCATTAGGGAGATTGAATCGGTTCGCCTCGTGCGGAGCGAACAGCCGAGAGGAAAAAAGAGAGAGAGTGAGAGAGAAAGGGAGAGAAGCTACGAGAAAGAAAAAGGGACGAGTGTGTTTATCCACGTCATATAAGCATACGTAAGATGGGGTAGAACCGTGACCATGGGTGTAACCGAAAGACCACGTGGCCAAAGAGCATGTGTTTTCTGAGTGAGTAGCTACTTTTGTGCCATCTGCTTCGGAAGCTTTTTGGACCGATAGGTGCGGTGTGTATTTGATAAATACTTACTTTCGACTAGAGGAAGCAGGATGGACGATCGTGGAAATCGTGGTCGAGAAATTAATTGGAGTTGATGGAGGGTTAACGATTCAACCGAATAACAAATTTCTACAAGCTTTTCTCACACTTGCCGTGTTAGTCACGTATAAATTTCCAAATATTATTTCACCAGCCTGCCTATAGACCATGTGAGAATTATTCTTAGTCGTTTCACTAACACACGGGGACACACTTTTCGGTGGAAAATAGAACAGAGGTCTCCAAGATCTCCGGAAAACAGGAAGCGTAAACGGGGCTCGTTCGAGAAGAACCTTTCCCTCCTTCTATTTCCGAGCTTCGATGACTTGACGTGCTCCGCGTCGTGGTCGGCGCCACGGAGTGTCGTCCAAGGCAAACAGCGTGTGTTGATGTTTTGTCGTAATTCCCCGATTCGTCCCCATGAATAGTTGAGGGAGGATCGTGACACCCTTGCAGGACTACTCGGAAAGGGGGTGTCGATGCTTCTCCGAAAATAATTTCCAAACACGTTGCAAACACCAAGAAAGGCTAAGTAAGCAACATCGAACTGAATTCGAT